TGGATGAAGTAGCTGCCTCAAGACCTGAGAGAGATAACACAAGAGTAAACTAATTATATGTCACATTGATCGGTAATACAAGGTAACTTAAAATTAATCAGTAAAATTGGAGATGTGAAAAGAGTCTCGAATAAAGTCAAAACAAATGAGTCTTACTAGGAAAAATTAAATAGTTAGAACAACAATTGAATAACGAAAAAATCTCTTCAACAGTCATGGCGTTATATAAAAAGACAGAGCATCGATTTATTGTCTCTTTTTAAAGTTACAGTCAGTCAATTTGCCCATAACCATTATTACAAGGATTAAAACAATGCTTAAAACTTCTTACAAAAGGCACGCTTTAAAATAAATTGATCCTCCATTTAAAGAAAAAGGAAAAAGAAAAAAGATACTCCAGCATAATTTCAAAACTGTACAAACACTGTCCAATAATTTCGATCCACTACTGTACTTAAAAATGTGTCATTATAAGAATTGTAGGCACACCAGAGTGTGCATTAATCTGTCACTGAGTAATTAAAGTTGTAACGAAACACAAATAAAATAAAAATGTCATGAACAAATGAGGAGTTATACAGTATTGAAACCTATAAATCCTGACATATTAACATAACATATTATTTATTTTAAATTTTAAATGTCAGCTTCTAAAATAAGCTGAACACAAACAAAATGATGTGACATGTCTCATTGGACCAAATTTTACCTTTTATTTGACTTTCTTGGTTTACTCCAACCACAAGCTGCAACAAAGCGGGAAAAAATGAAATAATTGTGAGAAAAAGCTCTAAAGTTTACAGCCCCTTTAGAAGAAGAAAAGTTACCATTCTCTCAAAATTTGTGACTAAAAAATATAATAATAGCTTCTACCCATGGTGCTATAAATTATGTCCTAGCCATGTTCGAACAATGAGAAAAGACACAAAAGTTAGCTCATAGTATTTTAAAATTTGTACATGTATATATATATATATAGTGAACACTGACTCCTCACTTTTATAAAACTGAAGATGGGCGAATTGATCAATGTTTTTTTAGAACAAAAAAAGAGTAGACCGTTTTCTTCAAGTTACATATTTAGAACATACGTCACATATTTTATAAATATCTTTTCATAAAAAAAGAATGAGACCAGGGTAAATTTCACAAAATTAGCAAACTGATAGAAATACCATTATGACATACAATCAATATTCATTACAACAGAAAAAACATAATCACACCACTTTACCTCTTGTTGTTGAGCATTATTGATGAACTCTTGACCTTTGCTGTGCAGCAAGAAGTAACAAACAGGAGAGGCACAAGCATGCTGGGTCAGGGGGTCAGCACCAGGTATCCAGTCAAAGAGTTCAACACCACAGGAAAAACAACGGACCATGTCATTGTGACCTGAGGAAAAACGGCAGATAATTTTTTTTAAAGTATAATAATTATTTACTTTTCTTTCCTAAGTTGGAAAATGTAACAATTCTCCTTAATCCCCTTTTTTTTTGTCAATGAAAAACCTAAGAACATCACACAAGCTCATGTTTCAGGTAGTAGTATAGGAGTTCTGATATATAAATGAAAACGAAACAGAGAAGACAGTTTATGCAGAAACTAAAGCAAGGAGTTTGTATTCATTTGTGGGGGCCTACTATTTTGTCTATTTTTGGCAATGCACAGTTATCAATATCAACAATCACTGAAACATTTGTTGAGTTCATTTAGTGGGTATTCAGAAATTCTGTTAAGGGTTGTCTTTTTGTTTTAAAAGATGAACGTATTCGATCTCTAAAAATAAACAAAACCTCTAGTTTCAGGCAAAAAAGAAAGAGGGAGGAAGTTGTGGGTTGTTGAGAAAGGGAGGGGGGGGGGTCTGGTACCTGTCCCCTCCCTCTAATTTATAGCTGTATACTAAGTCTCAAAAGTTGGTTGTTTAAATAGTGCATATTTTCATCTCATTGTCAAAAGAGGGAATATGCCAGAATGATGCGCAAACTTCTGTGTATCATCAAGTACTTTGAATGAAGATGTAGTCTGAGAAGGCATTTCTTGTTCCAATGGCTAAAAATTTACTGAAATTACAAAATGTTAGAAAGTACCAAAAATTTTAGCAGTCAAAACGTGACATTATATATAGAGATGGTAATTTTAATGAAGTGAAACTTTATACAGGAAAGGAAAATGCTAAACATCTCATGATGTTGTTTCTGTAGTAGAAGGTTGAGTGTTTAAGAAAAGCACGCATTTTGGCGATAAACTGTTGGGCAGAAAGCCCCTGACAGAGTGACAACTCTGGTGGATAGACATGATGATGTTTCTCGTCATTTTCATCTTTTCTAAGCCTACTTAATTAATGATAATAAAAAAGACTTTTAAAGAGAAGAATAAAATGGGCATTACTTCAAGTCGAAAGGGGTTATTAAACACACTTGTTGAGTAGTTTTGACTCAGAATGGGGATACTCATTCGCAAAAAAACTTTCTCATCGCAATTTCTGTCATTTCATCATGTCCATTCATGAGCCTGTATTTTGTTTCTCGGCTTTGCTACCACATGTTCTAATGAACCAACTAGACTAGTTCCATATAATATAAATACAGTCAAACCTGTGTAAGACGGCCACCCATTGTCAAGGAGAAAAGTGGCCACATAAGACAGGTGGCCGTCTTAGGCAGGACTGATCAAGACAAAGAAAACAAACCATTCCCATCTGAGGCCCCAATCGAAAGTAGCCCCATTGTTGTTGTCTTTGTTGGTGATGTTGCTGTTGGTTTGTATTTCGTTTGTAATTTTTATTTTGTCGCTGATTTTGCACAATGGTGACAATAAAACGAAATGTATCAGACAAGGAAGACCGAGTGCCATGTTAAAACAAACACATGGGTCGCCACCACTCGGAGAACGAGGGACGCTTCTGTAACAAGTTCATGTTGACGTCCTTTGTTACTTTGTTACAGACTGGGTAAACAGTAACCACTCATCTCACTTACGATTTGTGTATGAGTTCTGGGCGGGGCTTATGGGTTATGAGGGATCACACGCTTACCTCACCAACAGCTGAAAATTGGTAGCACAGTGGTCAACAGTGGGAGGGGCCTACGCAACATGATCGGTTGGAGGGACTACCTAACAACAACGACAGGTGATTGAATTATGACGGCTCGCCCACAACGCCAGGGGCCAATGCACAATTTATGACAAAACGTAATGGATTCACTAAGGTGACCGTCTTAGACAGGTATTATTGCTTAGTATTATAGGGGTTGTGTGTTAAATTTTTGTGGCCGCGGCCGCGTTGGACAGGTGCCCGTTTTACACAGTTAAATTATATAGAAAAAACGCAAGGGGGGAAATGGAAAGTGGCCGTTTGTACAGGTGGCCGTCAGGGCAGGTTCGACTGTATATATATATATATATATATGATGACAATCCATTATGACAAGCATATTTTTGCTTCTTCTTCGCTTCTCTTTTGAGTCATCAGCACACTACTCTTCCATGTTCATTCCACCATGTAAAAGGATGTTGTGAAACAGTGGGAAGTCCCTCACATGATATTTTGCAGAAATATCATAAAGTGTTTGTTAATAACATCATTATGACAAACCTGGATTATCTAATCAAAGTCATATTTAAGCAAAACCATACGATGGAGCGGAAAATTACCCTTCTGGTGGATCAATGTCAAACCAATGTTTAATACCGGTCATTCCCCGGGATGATATGTTTAACGATTTGGGTTTTCTAGACCTTGGAAAGTCTGATGATGTAATTATGACACGAGTTATGAACCAACTTATAAATTTTACTCAGCAATAACATCATTAATATAAAAAAATAAAACCCTTTTAATGGACACACGCTGATATGATGGTGTGTACAAACTATTTTCAATGTTTGAATGCACTTCTGTTTGATCTATAGTTTAAGATTAACAATATTCTGTTTTTAACATACAATTATGTGTGCACTCAGGATGAGTAAAAAATGCCCTATTTTTAGTACTATTATCTTTCTATGTAGAGATATAAGATGCACAAATCAATCTACTTGCTCATGCAGCTTGACCAACTTATTTCCTTGCCATATGCATAAAGTTTTCAGAAGAAAACATATTTTACCATGAGTAGTGGTTGATTTAAAAAGTCCTTTTAAGCAAACACCCCCACCTTTTGGCAAAAGCTCCATCATGTTATGAACGTGACAGTGTGTCATAATGGTTATATTAAGAACGAAACCTTATTCCATGTAATTTACAGTTGTTTCGGGATGTA